TTAAGTTTAATTTTAGTTTATTTATGTGCTGAGGCAAGACACCTGGCATGTTTGATTGATGGTCGGGATATTTGGGAAGGGGGGGACAAGGGACAAACAAATTGAGTATGGCTAGGGATGGTGGACATATCTTGAGTTTGATCGAAGACAGATTTGAAGGAGACGTGGAGGATATTATTCTCACATCGAGAAGGACGGGGACCAAACTTGATCGATATGTTTGTCATCCCAACGAATGGGATATTACATTACTTCGTACTTTAAACCGCTGAGCTTAGCTAGTTCAAAACAAATGTCAAGAGCTACAAACGCCGCCCAGTAGTAGTACACAACAAGTACAGCCAGTCAGTACAAGCAGTGAACACCTCCAATCTTCAGGGGCCCCTCCCTCCTCCCTTACCCAAAGAAAAACCTCCGTCCTGTGGTGCCACAGAAGACTGCCCAACCCCCCTTCCTGAGCCTCACGTAACACAACCCATTCCCGACGGACGGCCAGCACACCATGCAGAGAAGAAGAATTAATTGTGCATTACGAGGAATTACTAGGTTCACATATGTACCATCCCGAAACAAGCCCCCACCCACACGCACCACGCCACCCTTACACACACAACGAAGACGACGGCTTTGAAAAGCGTGTAGCCTGATCCTGTCTCCCCTGCCCCTCCATTTCCCAACATCCCTTATTCACATACACACACACATACGCGCGTCATTACTGTGCCTTCCTGCCGCCCCCTTGCGTCGCTGCTGGGGTGGGCCGCGCCGTCGAATTTCATCCCCCTGTTGCCGCCGATCCGTGATAAACGCCGATAATCAGAACGGCATCGATGCCGTCCNNGGACGGCATCGATGCCGTTCTGATTATCGGCGTTTATCACGGATCGGCGGCAACAGGGGGATGAAATTCGACGGCGCGGCCCACCCCAGCAGCGACGCAAGGGGGCGGCAGGAAGGCACAGTAATGACGCGCGTATGTGTGTGTGTATGTGAATAAGGGATGTTGGGAAATGGAGGGGCAGGGGAGACAGGATCAGGCTACACGCTTTTCAAAGCCGTCGTCTTCGTTGTGTGTGTAAGGGTGGCGTGGTGCGTGTGGGTGGGGGCTTGTTTCGGGATGGTACATATGTGAACCTAGTAATTCCTCGTAATGCACAATTAATTCTTCTTCTCTGCATGGTGTGCTGGCCGTCCGTCGGGAATGGGTTGTGTTACGTGAGGCTCAGGAAGGGGGGTTGGGCAGTCTTCTGTGGCACCACAGGACGGAGGTTTTTCTTTGGGTAAGGGAGGAGGGAGGGGCCCCTGAAGATTGGAGGTGTTCACTGCTTGTACTGACTGGCTGTACTTGTTGTGTACTACTACTGGGCGGCGTTTGTAGCTCTTGACATTTGTTTTGAACTAGCTAAGCTCAGCGGTTTAAAGTACGAAGTAATGTAATATCCCATTCGTTGGGATGACAAACATATCGATCAAGTTTGGTCCCCGTCCTTCTCGATGTGAGAATAATATCCTCCACGTCTCCTTCAAATCTGTCTTCGATCAAACTCAAGATATGTCCACCATCCCTAGCCATACTCAATTTGTTTGTCCCTTGTCCCCCCCTTCCCAAATATCCCGACCATCAATCAAACATGCCAGGTGTCTTGCCTCAGCACATAAATAAACTAAAATTAAACTTAA